GGAGAATGGTTGGAGACCTGCGCGGCTACAGGGGATGCGCCTGTGGAGCTGCGGAGAACACTCACCCAAACCAGTAAACAGTGCTTTGTTTATAGAAAAAAAACACACAACAGGAACAAACGAAAAGCGCGGAAGATTCGGCAATAACTGCAAGCTGTTGCCGCATGCCATGCACAGTATATATAGGGACGAGAAGAGAAGCGGCAGCAGCTCTAAGCTGCGCAGCACAGTAATCTGGCACCACAAAAAAATACCCATTTCATTTCCAATCACATCATTACATATGACGAAAGAGGAAAACTAGAGTCAGGAGGCGAGACATTTGCATATCACATGGAATAGAAGAGCAACTGGGCAAGACCAAGGGATGCTTTTAACCTCTTTTGCAGCAAACTATTGATTGTATTAATTAGTAAACAGGCGTTGAGGGGGTGCAGTGATAGCGTTAGTTTTTTAGTGGTCTCATTGAGAGGGCATTCCGGAATTTATAACAAACAGTACTGAGAAGTCAGGAGGAAAAGACGTGTTAAGAGCCTGCCGGAAAAGGGTTTTTAGAGAAATTTACATAACGAATGAATTTGGGATGAAGTGCGTTTTTGTTGCTTGGCTTTGAATTTAAACGATTTAAAAGTTTATTCTAACCGTTTAAAGGTATACATTTTGGTAATATAAGAAAGTAGCAACAAATTGCAATTAATCTGTTGAACAGGAATATTTCGGTCCTTGAAGTCGTATACATTCCTTTTGAGCACCAAAACTGCATCTCATCGGTACAACAGTTGTGGTTCCAGATTATTTCCAGCAATATATATGTCAAATCTCCAAATAGCATATTTGGGTGATTAAAAAAAAAGAAAAAAAAAAATATTGCAGGCGAAAGTTAGAAGGTGTCAAGGAATTACAGGAGAGTCGTACGCGCAAAAATGGATTGAATGCTGTGGAGTGTGCTCTTGGGAAGGAGTTAGCTGCTGAATTCATCGCTATGGATGACGATCCGTTTCGGCAGCGCGGCGGTGGCATGTTAAGATTATCCGAAGGACGTCAGGCGCAAATGTAATCGTCCCATTTGTCACTTTTTTTCAGGAGATCTGAAGAGAGGGGGAGTGGGGTGGGGGAAAGCATTTCTACCACTTTTTTGTCTTGGTTTTTGACTTGAACACGATATGAAGTGCTTTGGTGCTTCAGCCTGTCGCCGGGAAAAATATGCTTTGCTCTACCAGGACGCGCACTATCCCTCAGTACCTCACCGTTCTATTATCATTTCAGGCATGCAGCTGATATTGAAGCCGGCATTCGTGATCAGTTCAAGAAGGAAAGCTTTCTGAGAGACGAACATGAGGAAATGTTAGTTTGGTTTTTTGAATGAAACTGTTAAGCGAAATTTTTTTTTTGTTTCTATTCATCGGCATTTTTTGTCTTTCGCGGAAATTTGTGAAAATGATTTCGTTTTTTATTTTTAATTTATTGGTTCAGTTTTTTCTGCAAATTTGCCTGCTTC